GGAATTAGGTGAGTGATTGTAGTGAGATGTGTGGTTTTCGTTCGAGCTGTTCGAGCTGGATTGATTGATGATGTATAGTGTGTTGTTCAGCTGGGAGACAGACGGTGTGTGTGGTGATAGTGTAAGTGTGCGTGTAGAACGTTAATGAGTAAATTAGTTTAGTGTTGAATTTGTGTGGTTTGATGTGGGGTTACAGTTTGTGGTAATCTCTGAGTAATGAAAATTCTGTTCATAGTTTGTTGTAATGTGTGTTAATGGTTTGACGGTAGTGGTGTGTGTGTTTTTGTGAGAGTTTATATTTGAATGAAGTGAAGTATTTCAGTAAATTTTGTTAGCACCGTTGTGGTTTAGTGTCTGAGAAGTGATGTGTTCTCACTGGAGCTAGGAATGCATTGTGAGGGTTAATAATGAGTGTTTGGAGGATGTATACACTTGAGTGTGTGTTGGTAATTGTGAGATTTTGTGGGAAGGTGGGTGGATGAGTGAATTGATAAGGCGGGGCAGCGATATACTGGTGTGTGTGAAAGTTTGTCTTTATTTACAAACAAACCAATAAGTAATATTGGTGATGTGATTGCGATTAGTGTAGTTAGAGTTTCGATTGTTAAATGAGGTGTGGATGTTTACATGTTTGTCAGTGTATCGGATGGTGTTGTTGTTGGTGTTTGAGTAAGAACCCTTGTTGATCCGTCCTGGAGATGTCTAGTTTTCAGGAAGCCAACGACGAAGGGGAAATGTTTTCTGGTCTCTTCGGTGAACCAGGATTGTACTGGTTCTTACTTAGCACCAGGTAGATGTGTTTAGTGTGAGTGTGACGAATGATGTCTAGTATTGGTTTGTGCTGGGACGTGTGTTGAACTGTGTTGATTGTTCATAGCTTAGGGATGACTTGTACTGTGATGTTTGTCGTATGTCTGTTGATGATCAGGTGGTTGTGTGTGTGGTGTAGTTGTTGTTATTGATCTGTTTGCCTGTTTGTGTTTGTATGGTAGGCAATAGTGTTGTTGGTTTTGTTGATTTTGAATATGGTTGGACTGGGATCATTGGGTTGGGGTGTTTGTTTGTTAGTGTGGTTGACGACCCATTTATTCAGTGTTTGTAACTTTCAGTGTATCACCTTGTTTGTCAATGGTATTGATTATTCTATTGGCGTGTTTGTGTGTGGTGGGGTGTGTAGTTTTGTTATATTTGTGAGTGATTGTGGGAGGTATTTCTGAGATGTGTTCTGTTGAGTGTGAGGCGAGCTGATGAGCTTGTAGACATGCTGAGGGAATTAGGTGAGTGATTGTAGTGAGATGTGTGGTTTTCGTTCGAGCTGTTCGAGCTGGATTGATTGATGATGTATAGTGTGTTGTTCAGCTGGGAGACAGACGGTGTGTGTGGTGATAGTGTAAGTGTGCGTGTAGAACGTTAATGAGTAAATTAGTTTAGTTTTGTATTTTTGTGATTTTATGTTGTGTTAATATTGGCTGAAATGTCTTGTTTTTGAGTTTTATTTGTTTTCTGCTTATTTTTTAGGGCGATACTTTGTTTTGAAATATCAATGTTTAAGGGCCTTTTTTCATAATTATTTCTGAGTTAATTTTGTTTTTACCTTCAATGGATTTTCAGTCTTCTTAATATTTTTATATAATTGATGGATGACCCTAATTCCAGGTTTTTTGTTACTGATAGAGAATAGGGGTGTAATTGGTGAGATCTCGGTTTGTGCATATGATTTGGTTGGCAAAATACGTTTTGTAGTAGTCAATGTGTCGAGTTATTTCGGCGTCACCTTTATTTATGTTACAAGACTAGTTAGCTAGACTGTCCTTAAATAGAATCAAATCAGGCCGATAATAGTGGTTTTTTAATCTTCCAGTGAATTGCGCCTCATACTTAAGAATGGACGTAAGCTAAATGGATCAGGGGTTTCTACCTGTTACATCCTCCCACTCGCAACCCCCAGAAAAAGGATGCGAAGCTAAGAAGGAACCAGAGCTAGGGTTAAATTTTGTTGAGAAGGAACTTAGAATTTCAAATTTTCAGGTTGTGACGCTTGGCAGATACTGATGCTGAAGCCAGTTTCGGTACGGCACGAAGCCATTGGATTAGGCTTTGGGTCTACTACACAAACTACGGAGTTTACTCCACAAGCTGTCTGAGCTAGGTATATATATGGACTCTAGCAATATGGATGTAATCGCCATCACAGAGACTGCAGACCCAACCTACAGGGATCATAATATTGGACCCTCATGTTAGTTAGTGCCGGCAGAACCCATAAGCGTAAAGGAGGATTAGCACTGTTCATTAGAAGTGCTATATTTTTTTTTACCGTTATCGATAACAAATCACATGGAACGGGAACGTGCGAATTAGTTAGTTGCCGCTTGAAATTCAAAAGAACACGAGCTGTTGATTATTTTGGTCAACCAAAGTTAAATCGTGAGGTGAATGAGGCCCTGCTAGACGAGTTCGATGCTTAATCACCAAGTTGTTGATGTTTTATATTAAGAGACTTTAATGCAGCCACTATAGACTGGAAAAATCTGAGTTGTCGAAGAATTCTTTCAAACAAGAACTAGTTGATGCGGTCATTACATATGCCCTAGTACAACATATGAAATAAGCAGCTAGATACTACAAAGACTCTGAATCATCCTCAATAGATCTCACATTGACGCACCATAAGGACGGAGTCAAAAACTTCCGTTATGTGTTATCCTAGGTTAAGGGTGATTGTGATCCTAGTCCTTCACATTCTTGTTGTTGTCAACAACTGTTTATCAGCCCAAGCCAGACCAAACGACTGAAAGGCAAATATAGAGGAAGCTATGTGTTCAATACCGTTAGCAGATTAGACAGTAGAATCAGGATCCCTACTGAAACATCTTGCGATGTATTCGGAAATTTGCACACAAAATGAACTACACTGCACATCCTTTGGACTACACCAAGGAGTCCGAAAAACTCTCCGTGGTTCATTAAGGAGTTTTGCAACCTCACCTGTAAGAGGAGGAAAATTTAGGACAGACGGGACAAAATCTTCACATCGGGAAGCTCAAAATATTTGTGCTTCAACCTTCCGCAAGTGTAGAAGATCGTATAAAGAAAAGTTTGTTAAGGAGTTTATAATATACCCTAAAATCTCTACTCGTACGTAAACCGAACGACTAAGAGGAGAGCCATTGTCTCAGAATTATGCGTAGGCAGTAATACCGTAGAGGTGCCCTGCCACTCACTTCATACACACACACGCTGGATACTGTAATCACTAAAGAGCTCGGCATTTTTGGTCTGCTAAATAACACTGATATAGATAAATCCATGGGAACCGATGAATGTATTCTAGGTTACTAAAGGCGTTGATAAATTCTGCCGCAAACTCCTTAAGCATATGTATTATTCTGTCTGTAACCAAGGGTGAATTACCGAAAGACCAAAATAACGCTTGGTAAGTCTTATCTCTATAGCAGATACGAGGCGTAAAACTGAGAACTATCTACACGTAGGCCTAAATAGGGTGGTTATTAAAAATTTAGAAAAGCGGGTTCGGAAGTTGTTTAAGTATCTAGAAGAATACCGTATTCCTTCTGAAAAGCAACAGGGCTCACGAAAATGTTATTCATGGCTCACTAACTTTTTAGTGGCCCGTGAAATTTGGTGCACTCTTAAATATCAAAAGTTACCTGTAGATGTAGCCTTCGTTGACTTGAGCGAGGCTTTTGACAAAGTTCCTCAAAACCAACCGCTATATAGATCAAGTAATATCAGGATTAGAGGCTATTTATTAACGTGGATAAAAGATTTTGTGGTTATAGGTCAACAAATAGTGCGGTTGAATTCAAATTCATCTAGTTGGTAAACTGCGCTTACCGGAGTGTCTCAGGGTAGAGCTTTGGAGCCAGTGTTGATCCTATTAAGTGTAAATGATCTTCCTAGTCTCGTATAATTGATTTTTCTATATGCTGACCAAGTCAAGATATGGAGGGCTATAAGAAGTAAAGGTGGTAGTTCGGAGCTTGAAAATGACCTGGAGATATTATCTGGGTGGTCTAGAACTTGGCAGTTCCCGATGAATGCTTCCAAGTATATTATGATGCATACCGGTCACCGAGGTACAGATACACACACGGTGAATAACGGTGAGCTACCCGTTTTCTTGAAACACAAAGACTTGAGACTCATTGTTAGTCAAAATTAAAAAAAAAGTACTTAACGTTGCCGTGCGATAGTCGTCAAAGGTTTCAGAACCCTTTGGTCAATACGGACAGCTTTTATCCATTTATATGCAATAACAGCTTCGACTTTGTATACAGTATTTACTCATCTTATAGTGGAGCGTTGCACACAATCGGCTAGCTCCTGTCCAAAAAGGGACGGTTGGCTGTTGGGAAAGAATCAGAGAACCGCAACTAAGCTGATTACCGGAATCGCAAAACTCTCGTATGATGATCGACTGGGCAAGCTAAACCTATTTCCACTATTATTATGGAGCAACTAGCGGTGACTTGGTCACAGTTTAGATCATTAACATAGATGACCTGTGTCTAGTGATTGGAGGCCCACTTAAGTTAGACGAGAATGATGTGACAAATAGCTAACTTTGAAATAGCACTTCGCGGTCAGCACCTAATGTGGATTACCCTTTCGTCGTATCAAGGTTCTGTGGTTGCTTTGAAAACTGTATAAAACAAGGGACATTATTACATAAATATATTGGTAAGAGTACGTAGAAGAGGGAGAGTAAGATCATCATTCGATTGACTGGTGCGCATTAGCTGTCTTTGAACTTGACGAGGATTGGTGAACTGTTCGACATTCAGTCACTCAACTGCTGATTGATTTGACTAGGGCCTAGTGACATTTCAGTAGTCGTACAGCAACTTTAAATTACTTAATAACAAGTCTGCATCGGATTTGCCCACAGTTTTCTTATTTTCCAAAACAGGGAATTCACGAGTATATTCTAAAACTGTTCACAAGCCCGGAACACATTACTTGTCATTTCACTATCGACTCGTCAACGCATAGAACTCATTTGGTTGAAGCTCCATCAGTGTGCGCTTTAAAAAATATGTTGGGTTAGCTGAGAGAGTATCAGCGCCCAAGACTGGCACAGGTCACCCGATTTCATGTCCTTTCGCGTCTGAAACTATTAATTAGGCCTTTCAAGGTCGTGGAAGAAAACGCGGTAGTTTTTGAAAGTGGTGTGGTGTAAACCCATTTTTTACAAAGCCATACCAAGATGAAAGCTGTTTGTGTTATGACTGGTACAGCTGGCGTAAAAGGCGTTGTCAAATTCACTCAGGAAGTAAGTTAGTTGCAAGCCGTTACTTAGCTGAAATGTTTATTTTACTACTGGCCATTTCAGGAATGACCACTTTCTAATGAGAAATTGTTGTATTTACGTCAATTTCTGTGTTTTCAGCACTGAAATGAGTGATTGCTTGGAAGTAGATATGGTTAATAGTGCTTAGAACTTCTGGACCGTGAATTTCAAGACAGTTCTTACAAAAGGCAAAACATATGTTACTATTTTGCCGTGAAAAACAAAAATGTCAACCTCCAGATGCCATGCTACGCAAATTCACACCGGATTTCTTTTAATGTGTTACATACGCTCACCTCAAGCTTTTTTCTATTTCTCCGTTTTTTCGTAAATACTGGATAGTATTATCCATTGGGTGATTTTTCAATACTTGTGAAGGAATATGTAAGAGTGTTGATTGTTTGGTTGAATGGTAATAGCGTTCTCGTTTCTATCTAAAGCTGAGGACCTTCAAGCATCGAGACTCTTGTTCCAGGGTTATAGTCAAACCAACTCGACCGTCTCATAACTGACAGAATCCTTACTGTAGATCATTCAGTGAGCGATTTTCATGAGGATATAATTATTGAGTATTTCTGAATCGTTGAAAGTCTTTGAAAAACCATGTGTTGTAACTGCAGAGTATCAGTGACACTGGAAATATACGTGACGCGTTAGTATTCTATTGTCACTTATCTTACTAACAGATTTGCAACCCGACTTTTAAGCACTTAATCTTGTTACTAGTGCATTGGATAGTTAGCAGTTCTGTACTTAGTATTGCAGCGCCGGTAAGTGCCACTTATGTTACAGCAGTACAGTGGTATAACGAATAGAGAGTATGAAAAAGTACTGAAAATGAACTGGAAAGTAATTTAAACTGTAGTAAGTTCATGGAGTTTGATATCGGGATTCCAAAAAGTAGAAGACTTTTATTTCTGCAGTTAGAGAATAGGTTTATTCAGGTACCACCACATGTACTAAGGCCTGGTGAGCTTACAGATTCCTTGAAATTAAGGGATACCAACATTCAGTTGTCTGTCCATCACATCTCGTAAATTTCCTAAATAAAGCTCATATTAGCAACATAAATAAAGCTTGGGGGTGTTTGAAAAACTACACTAAAATACAATAGATAAAATTATTTTCTATTATATTGGTAAATTTCTTTATCAAAATACCGTGATTTCAAGAGAGATAGACTTGTGAATATGGAGTTCATTAGTGATTTATAAATTGCATATGCTTGTTAATTTAATTTTATTTAACCATTCTTGCACAATCTGTATTATAGTTAACCAAGAATCAGTCTTCATTTCTCCGGGTCATTTAAAAGTTGCTTAAACTTTCGAGTGCTATTTAGGTGAATCGTAATTAAATAGTAATAGAAATAATTCAGATTTTGTTCTGGGAGTAATATGATATCTAGTTATTTCCTCTCACCAATTTGGCAAACCTATAACGTAACAACGATACATCAAAAGTATTATAAAGAAATGAAAGTATAGTTATGATCATATGAGTTAAGAAGGGCTGTTGGGGTTGATATTCACCGTCATTACATCTATTTCAAGTTCTTTAACAATCATAACTTGTATATCTAAGTCATTAAGGTTGTGATGTACAAAACCTTCCTGTTCATTAAAATCTGAAGCTACATATACTAACCTACTTTGCTTTTATCAGCCTTGAAGTGTTCAGCCAGAGGATACTCAACCATTTTCTTCACATAACTTCCATTTTTTACTAATACCAAGGTTTCCCACTGTATAGACCTGATCAGTTTTAGTTCATCGGGTTTTCCACAAAACTGATTTTGATGTTCAAGATTATTATGGCTTATTTACTGATGTTAGTACTGATTTAAAGATACAGAGATAAGTTTTTGATGTGATCTTGTTGATTAAAGGGTTATTGCCTTGTGATTTTTCGATAAACCAAACTTTTATGGGGCTCACATTTAAAGTTAGTAGTCATACACCATCTTAAATTTTTTTCCACTAATTGTTTTAAAGAGAATAGTAAAATTTTGTATAATAACTTATGGAAAACTTTTTGTCCGTACTTGGAGTTTATTGTGTCGTCTTACATTTTTGAAAGATTTACTGCCAAACATTTCTTTTACACTTTCAGACTGACAATGGACCTGTTAATGTGCACGCCGAATTTAGTGGACTCAAGGCTGGTAAACATGGCTTTCATGTTCATGAATTTGGTGATACAACAAATGGATGTATTTCAGCTGGAGCTCATTTCAATCCAACTAAACAAGAGCATGGAGCACCAGAAGATAGCATTCGTCATGTTGGTGACCTGGGAAATGTTGTGGCGGGTGTTGATGGAAACGCAGTTTATAACGCGACTGACAAATTGATATCTTTGAACGGCCCTCATTCAATAATTGGTCGAACTATGGTCGTAAGTATTGGTATTCAGTGTCGTTGTTATTGTATACTATTGGTTTTAATTCCTCAACACTGAACAGCTAGTAAGGTTGGTCACAAAATTCCAATTCTCATATAAATAGGAAATGTCTCGATCTATTCCAGTCGTTAGACTTACTCAATGTAGATGAATTGATTTGTAGGGAAGTCTCATCATATATGAGTGTTAACTGCTATTTGGAAGGAATATTTTTATTGTAAACAATCGAACTTATTATAAAACTTCATCGTTTACACTCAGCAGAATAGTTGCGGTTAAGCCGTTTAACTTTCGGACACGAATTTCCAAGTTCTCTAAAGACGCCTAGAGATATCAAGTTTAATGAGTGACGGGGACTGCAGTTCACAAGCGAATATTTAACCCCTAAGTCGATTTTGGTTTAGCAACCCAAGATTAGAATGTTCATATCCGCAATTCATGATGCTGGTATATGTGAGGAAATCATCATTCCATTCCTCAGATGAATTTCTGAAACTAATGAACGCTGCCTAATGACTACCGCTTTTTAAAAATTGATATCTAGATATTTTCAGCAAAATGAACTTCGTATACGTAGCTTGTTTACTTATCCCCAACTTTTTATGATGAATTAAAGCTCTTATACCACTGTTTAGACCAGTTAATCCAGTTATAAACGAGTCTTCAAATCTACTGCAGTCAGTCAGCTACAACGTAAGGCCAGGCACATATGTGTATCGGTCCACGTTGACATACCTCATTAGCACAGCAAGATGAACACCGAATTCATAGGAGTGGTTAAGTCAGTGGTGGTAATATATAAAAGAAAGATTGCATATAAGGATATAGTACAGGAAGAAACAATTAGTTCGTAGAAAGAAAGATATGAGGTGATTTTAATCTCATATTTTAAGGGAAGACAAAGAGTGTATACACTTATGCTATTGTGACCGATTCTGAGACATGTCACCAAGAGTCTCCAACCTTTGGTTAGGATAATCACGCGGACCCCAACCAAATAGTCTGCATCTACTAACATGGCTCAAACCAGAAGTTAATGATTTCAATGACTGATGCCACGTTTTGATTTGGCCGTCCCTAACTTCCAGCCGTCTCCAACAATAGTCAGCATTGAGCGTCTTGGTAGTCGGTGTTCAGGCATACGTAGCACGTGGCCAAATCATCTTAGTCGATGAAGATTTATAACCTCATCGACTGATTCAACATCATTACCTAATATCCTACGTTTAACCTCACTATTACTTACCCGGTAATCCCCGCAGATGTGAGCTATATTTCTAAGACATATGTGATCAAATACTAGTAACTTACGAGTATCTTCTACTCTTAATGGTCATGTTTCGCAGCTGTAAAGTAAAACAGAACGAACTGCTGCACATTATATTCATCCCTTAATTGATAGACGGATATCTCGCCTTCGTCATAAGTGACGTAAGTTGACAAAAGTCAAACGACCTTTTTGAATCCATGCAGTGATTTGGTCAAAAACCAAGCCATTATAATCAGACTTCAAAGATAAATGAAGTTATTGACGTGTTCGACTACTTCATTCCCTATCCTTAGTTCATATCTGCTGCATCAAACGTTGAAGGTGATCCCAGTTTCGGGATAAAAAATAACACCAACTACTTATATCAACAATATCAGCTCTATTTGGAGAATCATTCACTAATGACAGAAAGTTTGGTGCCTGTCGTTTCAAATAGTGGCAACTGTGTGCTTTCAAAGTGTTTCTGTTGAGGTATCTATGACTTGACTTCATCGATTCAGAATGACATGTTCCAAATTATCCCCGTCTCTACTTGTTATAACCGCAATAAACAGCTACTTAAAACAGGAAAACACTGAAGTTTATACGATACAATGATGACTACAAAGGCTAACAGCAAATGCAAATTCTATTCACCCTTCACAAATGTGATAACCACTCTAACCAAAATACACTCATTTATGTATAAATTTGACTGGCGTCTGTATGTGGAAATGTCATTTTATTAGAAAAGTCCTATTCCGATTGGCAGCCGTTATATCTTCTAATATTAGTTCTTTGGACACTTGTGTCAGTAATTTGATTTCATTAATGGTTATCACTTGGCCGTATTGTATCAGCGCATATCATCTATCGATGAAAATTGCATTCACTCATCTAAATAGTGAGTAAAATCATCTAACATGCTACCACTTAACTGGTATGTTTTACTATTATTGTTAAGTTTATACATATTACTGCTCGAATAAATAAACTCATTCACCAGGTAATTGAGTGTGGGCCACACTAGTTGTGAGGGTTAACGGTACCTCTTGCTAGCCCAAGTAATTGAGGCGGGGTTTGAACACGGGACTTTGTGGTTGTTGGAGATGGCTAGATCCCCAGAAGTTACTTGATAAGTGTCTCATTTTTGTAATTTTATTTTAGAAATTCCAATTTATTGTTTTCACGCCAAAAGCACCCATTTTCACCTTTATATCGTATTTCCCACTTGGGAGGACCTTAAATGTCATTGGTTCGTTGTCTCTCTCAATATGTTATTTTGTAACGTTTCCCAAGGACATTTTTATGCTGTATATATACGCTTGAGTTGTGCCTGTTTTTGTTCGTGCTCCTGGCTGCTTGTGGAATCCATTTTCGCTCTTCTGAGCCTGAACTTCTCTCTCTAGTTAGCGGAACTGGGACTCATCGTAATAGTTAGCTTATTTGGTCATTGTATCTCTGAGTCTTCGTTCCGTCCTCAGATTTAGGTGAACTCTTAATCTCTTCAAACATAGCGGTGATCGAAAGTAGAATGTCTTAACCACTAAACAACTGCTCATGTTAGTGTAGAGCCATGGTAGGAAACTAATTGTGAAGAGATGTTTCACTCTATTCGTTTTTTACTACATTTCTAAATTTAAGTTTTCGCTTTTCTGAAATTCTTAACTTATTCAAATCATAATATTTTGACCCATGGCCTCAATGGAGCAGGTGTATCCACTCTTTGTGTTCTCCCAAATTCTAATTTTCTGAATCCTTCATGTCCTTTTTTTCTCTTTCCAAATTTCACTGGATTATACTCTTTAAATAACATCTTCAAACCCTAATCTTTCCGATTACTGCTTATACTCTTACTACCTTTACCACTACGGGATTTGAATCGACAACTGCATCTCTGTGCTAATGTGGTATGGCAACTCGAACTGATGTACATACGTACGAAGTTGTTACTGATTGACTGACCATGACCTCATTAGGTTTCTCAACAAAAAAAACGTTTTGTAGTTGTTATAACTCTCTCTTTCTTCTTACGGTTAATGACCCAGCTATTCCTATTGCTTAGTATTCTCGGACACCGATTCACTCGACAAGTCCCCAAATCAGAACACGGTTGAACAGGAAAAAGATTATATTCCAAATAGCAAGTCAGAAGCCAGTAGGAAGCACAATAGGGGAAAACGTCGGTATATTTATAGTTTTTACATAAGAAGATTCCAGAGTATTCTCCGACTATCGACTAGTGCTGATTGGATAAGAATCAGCCAATCAGCGTGCACCAAAGCAATCATGCATTGAGCATGCTTTAATCTAGTCTATGTTCCGCTAACAGTAGGCTATCATGTCATTGAATTTTCAACTGTAATATGAGGAATATTATCGATGGTTCCATTTTATCCATTGCTAAAGTAGTCTAATTTTTAAACATAACCACCTACAAGATTTTAAACGGATAATTAGTAATATTTTTAACCCTTATTACTCTAGACCGAATACAAGTGATTGTTAAACTTATTTGTTCATTTCTATGTTATTGGGTACTTCAATACCATAGAATGCTATAAGTTGAAATCTCTTTTATAATTCATTGGTATTTATGTAAGTATTTTGTATCTTTAATTTAGATTCATGAAAATGAAGATGATTTGGGCCGTGGTGGACATGAGCTCAGTAAAGTAACTGGTAATGCTGGTGGCCGTCTAGCTTGTGGCGTTATCGGTTTAGCTGCTGAGTAGAGTTGTAGATTTATGTTTTTACATTTTTAACGCCTATTTACCTGTGAAACAGTATGGTCATTATTGTCAAGAAAGGAAATTTTGTGTTCTAAATGATTGAAAAATAAAGTCATTAAATATAATTGATTTATTCTTTCTGTATCTACTGGACACGATTTTTCTAACGGAGTTGTCAGTCAGTCAGCTACAACGTAAGGCCAGGCACATATGTGTATCGGTCCACGTTGACATACCTCATTAGCACAGCAAGATGAACACCGAATTCATAGGAGTGGTTAAGTCAGTGGTGGTAATATATAAAAGAAAGATTGCATATAAGGATATAGTACAGGAAGAAACAATTAGTTCGTAGAAAGAAAGATATGAGGTGATTTTAATCTCATATTTTAAGGGAAGACAAAGAGTGTATACACTTATGCTATTGTGACCGATTCTGAGACATGTCACCAAGAGTCTCCAACCTTTGGTTAGGATAATCACGCGGACCCCAACCAAATAGTCTGCATCTACTAACATGGCTCAAACCAGAAGTTAATGATTTCAATGACTGATGCCACGTTTTGATTTGGCCGTCCCTAACTTCCAGCCGTCTCCAACAATAGTCAGCATTGAGCGTCTTGGTAGTCGGTGTTCAGGCATACGTAGCACGTGGCCAAATCATCTTAGTCGATGAAGATTTATAACCTCATCGACTGATTCAACATCATTACCTAATATCCTACGTTTAACCTCACTATTACTTACCCGGTAATCCCCGCAGATGTGAGCTATATTTCTAAGACATATGTGATCAAATACTAGTAACTTACGAGTATCTTCTACTCTTAATGGTCATGTTTCGCAGCTGTAAAGTAAAACAGAACGAACTGCTGCACATTATATTCATCCCTTAATTGATAGACGGATATCTCGCCTTCGTCATAAGTGACGTAAGTTGACAAAAGTCAAACGACCTTTTTGAATCCATGCAGTGATTTGGTCAAAAACCAAGCCATTATAATCAGACTTCAAAGATAAATGAAGTTATTGACGTGTTCGACTACTTCATTCCCTATCCTTAGTTCATATCTGCTGCATCAAACGTTGAAGGTGATCCCAGTTTCGGGATAAAAAATAACACCAACTACTTATATCAACAATATCAGCTCTATTTGGAGAATCATTCACTAATGACAGAAAGTTTGGTGCCTGTCGTTTCAAATAGTGGCAACTGTGTGCTTTCAAAGTGTTTCTGTTGAGGTATCTATGACTTGACTTCATCGATTCAGAATGACATGTTCCAAATTATCCCCGTCTCTACTTGTTATAACCGCAATAAACAGCTACTTAAAACAGGAAAACACTGAAGTTTATACGATACAATGATGACTACAAAGGCTAACAGCAAATGCAAATTCTATTCACCCTTCACAAATGTGATAACCACTCTAACCAAAATACACTCATTTATGTATAAATTTGACTGGCGTCTGTATGTGGAAATGTCATTTTATTAGAAAAGTCCTATTCCGATTGGCAGCCGTTATATCTTCTAATATTAGTTCTTTGGACACTTGTGTCAGTAATTTGATTTCATTAATGGTTATCACTTGGCCGTATTGTATCAGCGCATATCATCTATCGATGAAAATTGCATTCACTCATCTAAATAGTGAGTAAAATCATCTAACATGCTACCACTTAACTGGTATGTTTTACTATTATTGTTAAGTTTATACATATTACTGCTCGAATAAATAAACTCATTCACCAGGTAATTGAGTGTGGGCCACACTAGTTGTGAGGGTTAACGGTACCTCTTGCTAGCCCAAGTAATTGAGGCGGGGTTTGAACACGGGACTTTGTGGTTGTTGGAGATGGCTAGATCCCCAGAAGTTACTTGATAAGTGTCTCATTTTTGTAATTTTATTTTAGAAATTCCAATTTATTGTTTTCACGCCAAAAGCACCCATTTTCACCTTTATATCGTATTTCCCACTTGGGAGGACCTTAAATGTCATTGGTTCGTTGTCTCTCTCAATATGTTATTTTGTAACGTTTCCCAAGGACATTTTTATGCTGTATATATACGCTTGAGTTGTGCCTGTTTTTGTTCGTGCTCCTGGCTGCTTGTGGAATCCATTTTCGCTCTTCTGAGCCTGAACTTCTCTCTCTAGTTAGCGGAACTGGGACTCATCGTAATAGTTAGCTTATTTGGTCATTGTATCTCTGAGTCTTCGTTCCGTCCTCAGATTTAGGTGAACTCTTAATCTCTTCAAACATAGCGGTGATCGAAAGTAGAATGTCTTAACCACTAAACAACTGCTCATGTTAGTGTAGAGCCATGGTAGGAAACTAATTGTGAAGAGATGTTTCACTCTATTCGTTTTTTACTACATTTCTAAATTTAAGTTTTCGCTTTTCTGAAATTCTTAACTTATTCAAATCATAATATTTTGACCCATGGCCTCAATGGAGCAGGTGTATCCACTCTTTGTGTTCTCCCAAATTCTAATTTTCTGAATCCTTCATGTCCTTTTTTTCTCTTTCCAAATTTCACTGGATTATACTCTTTAAATAACATCTTCAAACCCTAATCTTTCCGATTACTGCTTATACTCTTACTACCTTTACCACTACGGGATTTGAATCGACAACTGCATCTCTGTGCTAATGTGGTATGGCAACTCGAACTGATGTACATACGTACGAAGTTGTTACTGATTGACTGACCATGACCTCATTAGGTTTCTCAACAAAAAAAACGTTTTGTAGTTGTTATAACTCTCTCTTTCTTCTTACGGTTAATGACCCAGCTATTCCTATTGCTTAGTATTCTCGGACACCGATTCACTCGACAAGTCCCCAAATCAGAACACGGTTGAACAGGAAAAAGATTATATTCCAAATAGCAAGTCAGAAGCCAGTAGGAAGCACAATAGGGGAAAACGTCGGTATATTTATAGTTTTTACATAAGAAGATTCCAGAGTATTCTCCGACTATCGACTAGTGCTGATTGGATAAGAATCAGCCAATCAGCGTGCACCAAAGCAATCATGCATTGAGCATGCTTTAATCTAGTCTATGTTCCGCTAACAGTAGGCTATCATGTCATTGAATTTTCAACTGTAATATGAGGAATATTATCGATGGTTCCATTTTATCCATTGCTAAAGTAGTCTAATTTTTAAACATAACCACCTACAAGATTTTAAACGGATAATTAGTAATATTTTTAACCCTTATTACTCTAGACCGAATACAAGTGATTGTTAAACTTATTTGTTCATTTCTATGTTATTGGGTACTTCAATACCATAGAATGCTATAAGTTGAAATCTCTTTTATAATTCATTGGTATTTATGTAAGTATTTTGTATCTTTAATTTAGATTCATGAAAATGAAGATGATTTGGGCCGTGGTGGACATGAGCTCAGTAAAGTAACTGGTAATGCTGGTGGCCGTCTAGCTTGTGGCGTTATCGGTTTAGCTGCTGAGTAGAGTTGTAGATTTATGTTTTTACATTTTTAACGCCTATTTACCTGTGAAACAGTATGGTCATTATTGTCAAGAAAGGAAATTTTGTGTTCTAAATGATTGAAAAATAAAGTCATTAAATATAATTGATTTATTCTTTCTGTATCTACTGGACACGATTTTTCTAACGGAGTTGTCAGTCAGTCAGCTACAACGTAAGGCCAGGCACATATGTGTATCGGTCCACGTTGACATACCTCATTAGCACAGCAAGATGAACACCGAATTCATAGGAGTGGTTAAGTCAGTGGTGGTAATATATAAAAGAAAGATTGCATATAAGGATATAGTACAGGAAGAAACAATTAGTTCGTAGAAAGAAAGATATGAGGTGATTTTAATCTCATATTTTAAGGGAAGACAAAGAGTGTATACACTTATGCTATTGTGACCGATTCTGAGACATGTCACCAAGAGTCTCCAACCTTTGGTTAGGATAATCACGCGGACCCCAACCAAATAGTCTGCATCTACTAACATGGCTCAAACCAGAAGTTAATGATTTCAATGACTGATGCCACGTTTTGATTTGGCCGTCCCTAACTTCCAGCCGTCTCCAACAATAGTCAGCATTGAGCGTCTTGGTAGTCGGTGTTCAGGCATACGTAGCACGTGGCCAAATCATCTTAGTCGATGAAGATTTATAACCTCATCGACTGATTCAACATCATTACCTAATATCCTACGTTTAACCTCACTATTACTTACCCGGTAATCCCCGCAGATGTGAGCTATATTTCTAAGACATATGTGATCAAATACTAGTAACTTACGAGTATCTTCTACTCTTAATGGTCATGTTTCGCAGCTGTAAAGTAAAACAGAACGAACTGCTGCACATTATATTCATCCCTTAATTGATAGACGGATATCTCGCCTTCGTCATAGGTGACGTGCGTCAACTCTAACGGAGTTGACTAGTCAAGTGTTGCATATTTGATTGATATCTGGATTTATTGTTTGTTCCGTAGTTAATGTAGTTTAATATGTATTTAAACGAAGGTTTTGCACAATTGTCTAGACTTCATCGGTGCATATTGGGAGTAATAAAATTGTTTAATCAAGTAAAGTAGTTTACATTCTAAACTACTTCACTAATTGTCTTCAAACTAAAGGTGTCTTTCATTTTCTATAGGTATGAAACATTTTCAGGCTTTTATTTAACATGTTCATAATACGGTTTCAGTATCTCTTAGTACTAAGCAGTATCCCTTTCAAGGCCAAGCATTGTCACAAAATTGTCTTTCGACAAAGCAAACGTTGTTTTTAGGTCATTGAGAACGGTATTGTATGCTTTTTTCAGTCTGACAAACCTTGTACTACCGGGTTTTTATCGATTAATTAAAATTGAACTCTTTTACACCAAGTATCAAAATTTTTCAGATTTGATCGGTTATTTAGTGTTTATCAATATACTGATTGAATGTTTATTCGCTAAATGTAAACATTTGCTCGGAGAAAAACGTAACTACTATGCAGATATGTATATTATCACATTAGATTTAATCGACAAACTATCTGTGGTTAACTAATTCCTTATTTGTTGTTTGCTACATTTGGTCGATATAGAAACAGAATTTTGGTTGTTTTGTGTTTTATGGACTGGGTGGTTTGATTGTAGTTCTGGATGAGCGCGTAATTCACATAGAAGTAAACTGTCTAGTTAATCCATCCGTCTTAATGATCTTGCTTGTAAATGACTTTCTTTATAAGTTTTGTCGGCTTTGTTTCTTTTCAGATTCTTTTTAGACGTTTTGTTGTGCTGACTTCGGGCCATAACTCAGACAGTAGGTGACTTTTGAGTTATCTTTACCTTTCTAGTAACTTAGTCTTTTCCATATGAGATTA